AGGATACATGTATATCATGTCACATCCTCTTATAACATACAAAAAATATATTTTATCCTAAGAAATCTTTGAAACACTTGCCTAATAGTTGTCTTTTTAAGGGAATAGTAAAAGAAAGATGGGGCATTTACTCTTCTGAAATGTAAGATTTTTCTTTTCCTTTATTTCATCTAGTAATACGTTAGCTCTGGTTGTGAGTAATCATTTCTTTCCTTTGTTAAATATGTGCTGGGCCATGCTTAGTCGCTCAGTCATGTCCGAATCTTTGAGACCCCATGGACTGCAGCCTGCCAGGCTCCTCTGTCCATGGGATTTCCCAGGCAAAAATACTGGAGTGGGTTGCCATTCCCTTCTCCACGGGGTCTTCCCAACCCAGGGGTCAAACCCAGGTCTCCCGCATTGCAGGCAGATTCTTTACCAGCTGAACCACTAGAGAAGCCCTTTGTTAAATATATCATGTTGGAAAGAATTTTATGCAACCATTGCAGTCATATACTCCTTGTTACATTTCCTAGGGCCAGTGAATTGGCTTGCGCAGGAGAGCACCCCAGCATTGGTTTTAAAAAATGGTTGATGTTTTCTAACTGGAGGTAGCTTTGAGGTAGTGAGTCTACACATGAACTGAGCAGTCTGCCCACGGACAGTGGCAGTATGTGACCTCTGAGGAGGGTCAACTAGTAGGTGACGAGAGAGACTGTCTTAGAGAATCAAAAAAGTGTCCTCCCTTCGGTCAGAGGAAGTGTGGAGGCGTCTATGAAAAACTTTGAGTTCCAAAATATCTTCTTTCATAGGGACTGCAAATCCAATTGCAAATAAACAAGGTTTTATTTATTTAATGCATTTTTGTTCTATGGAAAGAACTAAGTGACATGGAAATTACAGCAAACAAGGCAGATAGGCTCTAAGTTTTAAGTTTAAGAGATACTTAGAAATAAGGGACAGTACAGTCAAACTCATCTTTGCCATAAAATTTTATGCATGTAAGAGACACTTGTAGATATTTGTTAAACTGAACTACAGTTTACACTGCCTTTATTGAACATTATTATAAAAAAGTGAAAAATCTTTTGAAAATGCTGACCATAAAAACAAAAAGTTGGATGACTTCAGTGCCCTGTGTTCTAATGGAAGAATACCACCAATCTACCTTTGGAGTCTTCATACAAAAAGAATTAAAATATTTTCAGATTGAATGCGAATGAGTCTTTTCTACTTAACAGAATTTGAGCTTGGAAAAGTTGAAGTGATGATACTAAAAGAAGTGATTATACCTGCTTCTAATATCTTTCTTATATAAACATGTATACCAACTGTGACTTGATAAGTTTCTAATTCTTAAAATATTTTCTTTTAAATTAATAATTCATTTCCTTAGCTAAAGCAGTAGAAAAGGATCATCTTCATCTGTTTTGAAATAACTTTCCAAAGCACTTAATTTTCAGTTAATCAAAAGCCAGAACTCATACACTCTGTATGTGCAAATGCTCCTATTTATGCAACAGGACCCAAAATATTAAAGTATGACTTTTGCAACATTCCTGTTTTTCCTCCACCTTCAGCCTCTTCTAGGGGGATCGGTAAGATATTTTTGGATTTGCTGTGTTACTTTTCTTTTGTTGATAGGGATATGGGGTGGAGTGGCAGAAGCTGAGAAAAGAAAAAAGATGTGATGGAAGAATAAAGAAAAAAGAATCAAGGGGGTGGGGAAGAATGTTTAAAAAAGGAATAGAAAAATAAGACCTACTATTGATGAACATTTTGAAGTAACAGATTTAACTTACTTCTTTACAGAGTAGAAATTTGCTAGGAAAGATATAAAAATGGATTTTTAAGAAAATTGTGGTTGGGAGATAGGTAATGCAATTCATTCTTTATCACGTCAGAAGACCTATTACAGAAGACCTTCTGTAAAGACTGCTTTTCAAGGATTGAATTTAGATTTGTTTTTCATTCATGGGCTGAGATGGGCCTTAAAGCTGTTCAGGTGTTAGCTGGATAGATTTTAAGAGTAATTCAGGGTGAAAGAAGATAAATCTTTTTTTTATTATGACATTCATAATATTTATCAACAGTCATAATTCAGTGCAAAAGTGCTATAATTCTTGATTCATGTTAAGCCAAGAGCTTTGCAACTTCTGATGGCTTTTTTAGTGTAATGATTTGTATACTAAATCTCTGCATTGTTTTTACATTTTTTCTCAATTATGTCTTATCCTATGAGATAATGAGTTGACTATAGACTGGAAACTGACCACATAGACAATAAAATAATAATGGTTCCTTCAACTAATCTTCAAAATCTTAAAAAGCCCCTCAGTAACATAGACTAGGAAGTTTAATATAAAGCAGGTATATGAATATATATGCATATTTTAGTTATTAAAGATTATTTCTGAAGGCTGTGATTTATGGGAGTTACTCATTTTCTATCATTAAATTCTATGCTTATGAATATTAAACAGCTTTAATTAATGAATATGTACACTAGTAAATATCAAAATATTTCAGGTAAAATTTTCAAATCTGTGATTGGTAGGCAATAGAGAAACAGATATATTTATTTTATAATGTTTCTGTTTAATCTTGAACATCTTGTTCCAACCATGATGAGGTTCAAATTTATACTAAAGATCACCATGCTTACACTTCTAAAAAATATAAATGTAACATAAATTTTAAAGAGGATTTGGGGTTAGAGAGAAAGTGAAAAGGCAGTTTTATAATACCACAGAAAGATGTTTAGGAAGGGAAAAAATGTATAAATTAACCAGATATAGAATAGAATCGTTGGAGTTTTAAAGAAAAACAATTCTTAACAGAGATCTTTAATCTTGCAAGAACTGAATGCCCACCCCATAGACGTTTCAATACTTTATAGAATTTATTTAATCAAAGTATACAGATGTTGCTGACAGCGTCCTATGGAAGACCATAATTATTCTATTCCTTATCTTTCTAAATATGTTTTTGTTGCATTATAAAAATAAATATATATGATTAATAAATTTTATCTGTTTTACATCTGTTCTTATTTAATATATATTTGAAGATAGGTAAATATGGAAATTTTACATTTTCTCTAAATGTATCCAGATCTGTGTCAATGTATCAAGCAAACCACAGACAGCCTGCAAGTGAGGCATGATTGTGCAGGTGACGGCTAGAAAAATGTTGCTAGCTATTTCTGACAGACTTAAAAAGTGATGGATTTCCCACTTTGCTCTTTTTCAGTGTACTATAATGGATACTTTAAAGACTCTTCCTTTTCTCTCTCTTTTTTTTAAAATGAGAAAAATTTAGCAGTGGTTGACAAAAATCAGAAGATAAATATGCAAAAGAAGTATATGGAAAGGCCTAGTCTAATGGGACAATCCACAAATCTTAAATAAGGAAAAACAGGGACTCCTTTATGGCAAGAAAACTATTATCACCAAAAAAATGTAATTTAGGTAGGAATTTGAGAATGTGGGTATGGTAACTTTAGTTCCAAGATCAAATAAAACCTAATTTTTACATTAAACCAGTATCCTTAGACAACTTGCTCTTTTTTTTCCCCCTCTTAATACATTCTCGCTATTCTTCCACCTAGCACAGTAGTGATTTTTCTTTTTTTTTAGTTTCACAGGGAACATCTGATTTTATACTTGAATTTGTTCATAATACAGTACTGTTTTGATAAGCTGACTCAACTTAGTTCAATGAAAAGTATATTTGCCTGTTGTTGCAGCCTCCAGAAGATTATGGCAACAACACACCTTAGCTGTATTTATATTTTTATGTTACTGTAGCAAGGATTCAGGTTGCACACAATTCATTTATGCTCTTTTTATACCTTCTTTGGTGTATGCAATGGCATACTTGTACCTTGGAAGGTTTGGAAAATAGCTCAGCATGTTCATGTAACTTATTTTCATGAACAAAACAAAAATTCTTAACCTTGCAAAATGTACCAGTATTAGACTAACCCTATGTGTTTATTTTCTTAGGCCACCATATAACTATCATAAAATTCTGTTTAAATTAAATCTTTTTACATTTTATCTAAGACTATACTCTTAGATCTTTTATTCAAAGCAATTCTGCTGAGAATAATTAATTTTCTCAATGCTTTGATAATTACTCTTGCAAATTTATGAAGATAAACCAAGGGAACAGTCATGGATTTATTCCATGCATCTTTCTATTTAAAGCCTCTAGAGCAATGGACTCACTCTTGGTCTTTCCAGGCGTGATCTTTATAATGCAGTAGAGAAACATATTGATAGTAAAAAAAAAATTAGATGGGAAAGCCTCTAAACTACCACCTACTATGACATATGAAAGACACTATCAAGTTAATAATTAAAAAAAAGAGACAAACCAAGACTTAGAAGTTTTAGAAGCACAGTATGTTTCTCCCTCTCTCCCCCTTGATAACTCCCTTCTCACCATAGTCACACTTGAAAAGAATTCACTACATGAAATCATTGATCTTTTCTGCAAACAATTCTAACAATATCAGGCATCGACAGGTAAAGAATTGTAGAATAAAGTAACAATATGACCCACAGAGTTGAATATAATTATCTAAAAAATAAATATTCATGTAAGTTTGGAAAATACTTGATCAAAAAAACATGAAAGAAAGGTCAACTATTTCTTTTTCATCTACCATCAAACTCTAAATACATCTTTAACCCCAAATTCCTTTGGATTAAGTCCTTGAACACTTCTGAAATGCAGTTATACAAAGTTACACATCCATGCTGAGTTATTTACCACGTGTAGTGATAATCTGCAGTGCGCCAGGGTTTTATTTGCAGGTTATTCGGAGTGGAGCTATGAAGAGTGATTTTTAAATCCAGGTTGGAAGTATAAACAAAAGGTATGTGTGCCTGTAGCTTGAAGAGGAGACTGCAGTTTGTGAGGTGGTGTTTGGAGAATCAGAAGAGAGGGTAGTAGAGAGGATATCTTTCATTTTAGAAATACCGAGGCACAAAACAGAGGTGCTTGTAGTACTTTTATACATGAAACCCCTTCTCCTGTATGTGCATCATGTGTAAACGTAAAGTCTGTATACTGCTGACTATTCGTCTCTGGTGTCCAATGAGTATGACTCCAATTCTTCTAATATCACTGTGAGAGATTGAGAGACAGAGAACATGAACATTTAGGTCTGGTAAGTATGGCAGAGAGGAAAGACACAGGATACAGGAAACGAGCACATATCATATTTGCCACAAATTTCATATCTGGTAAAATGAATGTGGAAGCAGAGATATAAATGGACAACAGGAATTTGTTACTTTATCCTTTACACTGGTGCCAGAGATGCGTCAAGTCGACCTCAAGTTTAAAGGTACAGAGAATTCAGGTACCGACGTCATATTCAGACATTTCATAAGCCCAGGGGATTTATGCAAATAAATAAATTTCTAACAGTATTAGCAAAATAGTCAGAATGCAGGATGGAAAATATAATGTGAACTCCATTTGAATTGCCATGGTCTTGGTCTTTCAATAATCTGAAAAAATGCCATTGTATCATGTTGAACAGTATGAAATTGCTATTATTATTAATATTTTAAAACAATGGCAATTTCACATGGTCAACCTACCAGTTTTAGTTATCTGTCTTTTAAACATATGTTGAGTATTTTCTCTGCACTCAGGAAATGATAGTCTTTGAGAAAGTGGAAAAATGCCAGACCATTGTAATATAGAGACAAAACTCTGAGAAAACATAATATTATATTATTACAATTGTAATATTTGATGAATGTAATATTAATTGATTTAGTGTACATGAATCATAAATAATTTGCTAAGGTAAAACTATATTGATGCAAAGTCTATGATGTGAACAAGAGTAATATCCATTTTATACAGCATCTAAAATCTTTAAATAATTATTTAAATTAAACATATTCTTTCAAAGGAAAATAGTTAAAAGTGTAATGCCCAACTTTCACTAGAATGATTATCAGAAATGGTGAGGAAAGATATGGAAATGCCATACTAGTGTCAGGAAAGGTAGTTTAACTATGGTATTCTTGATAAAGAAATAGTATTTGAATTTATAATCTTCCTAAGTGGACATCTGAGTATAGTAACAAACCCAGCCCCACTTACTCAATGCTCATTCTTGAAATCAGGTCAAAAGTTGTAAACCCCGCTGCCATGAAGTTATTCTTATATTGCCCCATCTTTATAGAATCCAGCCAGTCACCGACTGTCACAAACAAAGGATATTCGGGAACTTCACCAGGGGAGTCTGGCATTCTATAAGGAAAAAAACAAATAAGCATGGAGACCATTTAAAAAACAGATAAAGCAAAAAACACCCAACTTTATTTTTAATTTTTACAATATTCTCACATCAAATGTTTCATCCTCCATAGAACTACATTTAAAAATGTTCCATCATATTCAAATCAGCCACTTTTATCTGGTCAATTTCACTTGTCAGTTTCTTTTGTCTTTTCCTACTTTTTGCCACTACTAGGTCTTTATACTTGAGGTGTCTTGAGAAAGCCTGTATCTTGCTAAAAATCTCTTTACTTTTTTCTCTTGCATGAAATTGTGCTTTCAAACTTGAAGAAAAGCACCCCCAAAAGATAACTAGCCACAGGCTATTCACTTATACACTTTCTGACCTTCCATTGAATTCATGCCCTATTGCCTTTTTCACATTTACTATGAGAGCCCTTTCTCTTTTTAATGGTGAATTTATAGGTTAAGACCTCATTTATTCTCAAACATTCAACAAAAATTTATTATTTATTAAAAAGTAATTTCTGTTGTCGCAGAGCTCAATTTCATGAATAAAATTTACATATATCCAAGCAAAGGGTAATACAGCCAAAAGCACAGACATGAATAAAGCACAAAACTAAAGAAAATCAATGACATTTGGGGTTAGCAAGAAAAAGGAATCTGCCATGGATGGGTCTTATAGTAAGTGATATGGAAATCTGTGGGGCTTCCCAGGCGGCACTAGTGGTAAAGAACCCGTCTGCCAGTGCACGAGACTTAAGAGACTAAGGTTCAGTCCCTGGGTTGGTAAGATCCCTTGCAGAAGGGTGTGGCAACCCACTTCAGTATTCTTGTCTGGAGAATCCCATGGACAGAGGAACCTGGTGGGCTACAGTCCATAGGGCCCAAAGAGTCGGACATGACTGAAGCGACTTAGTTCACGTGTATGGAAATCTGTATTTCTGTTCCTATGATCTGATGCAAAGGGTATTTCAGTTGGGGACATTTTTGAAGTTTTAATATAAAAATAATATAAAAGTTTTATTTTGAAAAGGCTAGTGAATGTGTGTATATATAGATACATATGTCTATATACACAAAAGTAGTTTTATATAAGCTAAAGTCAGATATAGAAAATAAAAGCAGAAATAACCTTAGAAATTATAGTAAAAATAACTCAGAACTGTATATTTAAGATATTCTAATAATAAACTATATTGTTTACCTTACTGAAATACCTGAAAAATAATATTAAAAACATTTTGTATGGTGTTAAAAATAACTGATATGAATGCTTTTATAATAATAACAATAAATGTGCTTTATCATCCCTTTAGGATAATAAGTATATTATTTTGAAAATTATTAGGTCTAGAGTTTATATCAAATGATAAAGCAGTAACTTTTTTTATGTCTGGTATTTGAGTTAATCAGTATTTTCTAAGTAATAAAAAATTTCCCACCACAAGTAAATTACTGAATTATTTTTGTATTGAATATTGAAGGATAATCCAACTCTCATTTACTTTGCTTTTAATTTTTTATAAAATTTAAAGGATAACAGAATCCAGAGACTTAACTAGAGCCATATTTTAATATTTATATTGTGAATATTTTATCATAATAGTTTTCAAATATTATTCATATTTGAACTACTTCATCTTAAAATACAAACCAATAACACATGAGCACATATGATTAAACCATATGAATAAGAATTCCTCCACTAAAGCAGAATGGCATATGCAAGTTATATAAGCCTAGAATTGATTTGTGCTGAGGTTTGAGAGAAAACAACAAAATTCTGTTAAGTAATTATCCTCTAATTAAGAAATTAATTTTTAAAAAAGTATATAAGAGTTGGAGTTAAACTCTAAGGTCAATATATAAGGTGAAAATGGAAACTCTTGAACAACCAAAATTACCCTTAAAAATCCTTTAAATTACCCTTAAATCACCAGAACCTGGATCTTTAAGGAGCGCAAAAGCCAGAGACGTAATACACAGCCAAACAACTTGTATACTGTATGACTCCTGAAGGCCCTGAAAGTTGCCCCTTGGCATTATTTAGGACAAAGTTCCTACTAAAGACCTAAAATTCACTTCTGATTTTTCTTTGATTTTATATTGACTTCTATTTTTCTGAACTGGATTCTAGCTGAAGGTGGGCATGGGGTGAAGAAGGATGACAGGGAAATTCAGGGATTATTGCTCTTTCTACATAGCTAAAATCTGCATAAACTAATTGCACTTGTGATTGTGATTGTACAGTGTTGTAGTCCATATGGAGTCTGGTGACACTTCATAGTGACTTCTTTTTACCAGTACTTGATTCTGTTACCATATTTCCTATTTTGGCGGCTGTTAAGTCACATTTTCCTGTACTAAAAATGGCAATGCTATTTGATTATGGACTGTTTCATTCTAATTAATATCAGAAGGATTCAAGACAAAGTTTAGTTATGTTCAAAAGTTGAAAGATATCATGGCATCTACCAACAGGCACTTTAACTGTCCTTAAAGGACATAAAATGGAGAAAGGTCACAGAAGGACATTCTGTACACTAAATGACTTAAATGGCCAATTTGTCTGTTGAAAAGCAGCCACTGTTTGCTCTTGGACTGTTTCAATACTGTAATTCCTGTTCCCTCCGTGCATCTTTAGTAACCTAGTTACTCTTTGGCCTTTATACGGCTGCATTGGCAGTTGATTTAGTAAGGTCAAGGTCCCCTCATTATTCACAGCCACCATGCAATAACTTTTCTTTCACCTTACCTTATAATGAAGTTGAAAAAATGCTGCTATTTTCTGGCTTTGAGGGCTGGGTACCATCACCCTCACATGAATTCTCTGGAATATTACCTAATAAACAATAAATGCCCTTTCTTATCAACCATGTACAATGATAAACTCAGTCTGCTATTTGCTGAGCATGTAGAAATTTCTGCTATTGGGTGATTAGTGGGAGCTGTCCACCTGAGAAATGTCTTTACAGCAAAACCTGCAGCTATGTAAAAAAAGGTACATACTGTAGAACAGAAGGTCAAAGGTTTCCTACTTTCTTCAGAAAAATGAGGAGGGAGCGCAATTAGAGGAAAGTCTACCAGGTATAAATTATGGTCAATTTAGATCAGAGAAAGGGCTGGAGTATAGCTAGAAGAGGTAATGGTATAGTTAAAGGTACAATAAACATATTCTCAGTACATCTAAATATGTAAAAATGAATGGAACTGATAGCTGAAAAGTTTTTATTCTAACAGGCCCTTTGAGTTTGTAATAGTACTGGTATTTTAATTTAGAAAGTTCTTAGGTTACCAGTAGGTATCAAACTACCATTAAAAAGCAGGGAGGTTTTTCTCCTCAAACCTTTTCCATATTTTATATTCATCATGTAAATATAAAAGTAATAAATCTATCCAAAATGGTTCAAGGAAAGTTATACTTTGAGAAACACTATTCCAAGGCAGGATCTTATTTTAATATGAAACTACCACATCCTTAAAGGCTTTTCTTCCTTTACCACTCTAACAAAACTTCTTCCTTTAGTTCTTACCTTTATATATCGTTAGCAGAGGTCTACAGATAGTGTCCATTCTATTTGTATTGCTGTATTTCATATGTTGATGAATATTTTCCATGTTTCAATGGTCTTCATAGCTCATTTTCAAGTGAGTGTATAATATTTTATGTGTTGATGGTTAATAATTTGTTAATTCCCTGAGTCAGACTCTTAAGTTGCTATCAATCTTATTAAATTAAATATTGCAGATGATTATGTAATTATAGAGCATGTATCTTTATGCTTCAGTTGAATTACTTCCTTGGGAAAAACCCCATAAGATGGAAGAATTTTAAGAGTAAGTTAAAACTCCCTGAGGGCAGGAATCATATCTCATATCTCTTTCTATTTTCTGTAGACCTTAGCATAATGCTAAAAGTACTAAAGGAATTCATTAAATAAGTGACGATTAAGATTTGAATATCCTCTGCAGAAAAGTTTGGTCCATGACCTAATGTGATTTATGATGAAGAATTTATTTTCATTTAACTCATTAAATGGAATAGTAAGATTCTATTACTAAAATGGTCATCTTATTAATGAATATGCTATTTATTTAGATTATTCCCTGGATTGCAAAAATGTTTGTTTATGTCTCTCTATAGGTTTCAACCCTGAATATTCACTGGAAAGACTGATGCTGAAGCTGAAGCTCCAATACATTGGCCTCTTGATGTGAAGAGCTGACTCACTGCAAAAGTCTCTGATGCTGGGAAAGATTGAAGGCAGGAGGAAAAGAGGACGACAGAGGATGAGACGGTTAGATGGCATCACTGACTCAATGGACATGAGTTTGAGGAAACTCTGGGAGACAGTGAAGGACAGGGAAGCCTGGCGTGCTGCATTCCATGGGGTTGCAAAGAATTGGACACAACTTATCAACTGAACAACAATAGGTTTCAATAGAGTGAAAGGTAGGAAATTAAAGGCGAGGGAGACAGCACAGGGTTAGGGGACCTAGAATCACAACAACATTTACTTTATTCAGTATCACTATTTTTACATGAGTTTATCATCTCATGACCAAGGGACTACACTTCACATTATTTAGTGAATCCATAAAACAATCTGGCTTCCCTCATACTCAGCTGGTAAAGAATCTGCCTGCAATGCAGGAGCTCAGACTAGATTCCACGGTTGGGAAGGTCCCCTGGAGAAGGAAATGGCAACGACTCCAGTATTCTTGCCTGGAGAATCTTATGGACAGAGGCAGGCAGACCCCCTGTCCATGGGGTTGCAAGAGTCAGACACAACTTAGCGACTAAACCACCACCAAATAAAACATTCTACTATGCACACTATCTACCTATCTTTTGAAGGAAGAATTTATCTAATTAGATAAAAAAAGAAAACACTGCCCTCCCTATAATTAGGCCTAACTGTCAACTTGCAAACAAGCTCAATTAATGAAAACTTTTGATATTCTTTAAAAATTTCAGAGTGTGGTTTTGCCCAAGATGTTATAAA